TCCATGTTGGGAGATGGGCCTTTTGAGAGGTGCTTGGGTCATAAGGTCTCTGCTCTTATAAATGAATAATACTGATATAAAATGTGCTTGTGGGAGTGGGTTCTCTCCTTTCTTCTGCCATGTGGGACACAGTGTAGGTCTGTTCTTCTTGCCCTCTACCATTATGCCATGTGAGGATATGTAAGAAAGGCCTCATTAGATGTTGGTATTTAAATCTTGGACTTTTCAACCTCCAGAACTATGATAAATAACTATGTGTTCTTTATAAACTAGTATCTGGGGTATTGTTACAGCAGCACAAAACAGTCTAAAACAATGGTAAACCTCTCACTAGAAACATAAATTTTGCAGATGTCAGCATATAAAAGTCAAGGGATTAAATGAAGAGAGAAAAGACCTTAGAGGAGGTCTCAAGTACCCATACCTGTAGCACTCCAACACAAACCACATAGAGATAAGAAGAAGTAATAATGAAAAACTCTGGTAACAAGTAACAAGACATGGTGAGGGAGGAAAGTCATGAATGTGCAGTATTCTAAAAACCTCAAGAAGGTACATCAAATTGGTGGAAGTAATATACTGTGAGAATGTTTCTAGACTAAGTAACATGTTGATTGAAAAAACAAAACTAGAAGTAGCAGTGTGGTCATCTCTAATGCCCTTGGCAAACAGTTTTGGTGGAATGGTGGAAGCAAATAACGAATGAGTGGATTTTAAAAATGAGAATACGGAAATTGGTAAACATTAGAGACTATAGTTTTGCCACAAAAAGACTAAAAGAGCTGGGTAGTAGCACATGCCTGTAATCCCAGCGGCTCAGGAGGCTGAGGCAGGAGGATCCCAGATTCAAAGCCAGCTTCAGCAACAGCAAAGCACTAAGCAACTCAGTGGAACCCTGTCTCTAAATAAAATACAAAATAGGGTTGGAGATGTGGCTCAGTGGTCAAGTGCCCCCGAGTTCAAGCCCCAGTACCACAAACAAACAAACAACAACAAAAAAACAGACCCAAAAGAAATAAGATATTAGTGCTGGGGAAAGTGAGATTAGAATAAATTTTATTTAAGGAGAGAGAAAAGGGGCTGGGGATATAGCTTAGTTGGTAAAGTGCTTGCCTTGCATGATGAACAAGGCCTTGGATTCAATCCCCAGCACCACCAAAAAAAAAAAAAAAAAAAGAAAAGAAAAGAAAGAAAGAAAAAACATTTTCATGCTGATTGACAGATGAAAGAAAGAAAAGGTAGAACTATTCGAAGGAACCTTGAGTAAAGGCAAAAAAAGAAGATTTAATGTATAACTGAAATGAATGATTTTAGAAGCAGGCAAGATTTACCAATGGTAATAGACAAAAAGGTGTAAAATGTGGGTATAGATGCCGTTTCATTACATATTTGTTGGTGTCTGTGAAACTTCTCTTTTGATCTCTCTTTTTTTTTTTCCAGTGAAGTAGGTCATTAGTTGGGAAAGAGAAAGAAACAAGAGTTACTGGGGGACTATAGGAAGGACAATTATTAGATGGCACCAATATCTGCATCCCATCCTGTCACATCTTATATATTGGTGGAACACACAACTTGTGTCTAAAAACACAAGGCAAAAAGAGATATCATTACTGTGTTTAAGTTATGTTAAACAGCAAAGGTGTTAAGAAAGACTACTGTGATGAGCTTCAATATAAAAGACTCTATCCTGCTAACATACAATTTAGAGAGCTTCTCTGGTGGCCTTGCAAGAAGCAAATTGCCAACCTGTAATACTGGATGGCCTTTGGAATCTTAGTGCTACCTCTTGCCAACAGCCAGTAAAAACGAGGAAGATTAGTCCCTAGTCAAGTCTTTAGGTAAGAATGCAACTGAGCAGACACTTTGAATGCAGCCATGTGAGACCAAGAGCAGAGGAGTTAAGACTGCCTGGCTCAAGTAGTGCTTAGACTCCTAACCTACAGAAACCATGGGAGAATAAATGTTTTTATTAATCCCTTAAATTTGAGGTAATTTGTTATACGACAACAGATAACTGATGCAGGGTTGAGATGAGAAATTGTATAATTGTCACCCGGGTAATTGGTTTACAATTATCTGATAGAATTAAGAGTCCATTTGAGAACTGTCATCATGAATTTAAAGTGTAATCAGTCCGTTTTAATTTTGTTTTTCTGCAACCATAGCAAGGGAACATACAGAATATAAAATCCTATTTTCATGTGTCTTGTACATTTGGATAAGTATTTCATATAGTTTCAAATTTGTTATTAAATAAATGTCTATACAGCACATATTCTAAGATCATTCTTCTTCTTCTTCTTCTTTTTTCCTGTTCTGGAAATTTGGGAAATATTCTAGGAGTGCCAACAACCAGAAACCTCAAGTTAACACTGGAATTCCACTTTTGACACCAATGATTTAGAAAATCATTGTATGGAATGTTAATAAAATGTCTAACTAATTTAGAACCAATAGATTAGAACTGACAAATGCTAATGATTCTATTTTTAAGTTTTTTGAAAGTTTAGACATGTTGCTTTATAAAGAATTCAAATCTATTTGCTCTATACTTCATATTTAAAATTCCATATATAAAATTTTTCAAACTTGCACCTAATAATATGAAAAACATAAAAAGAAAATGAGTTGTAAAATAATTAGCACTACCTACTAATTTTTTTCAATAGAAAAGTTAAAAATATTACATTGCTAAGCTACAAGCAACTTTGTACTCAGTATAAAATAATTATATAAAAAATTAAGCTAAAGAAGATACACTTTTATTGGAAAAATATTTCAGAGCTATAAATATAGCCTATACTAATACTAAAATGATTCTAAAGATAAAATTCATTTCCAATAAGCTATTTGTTATATTTATATTAAAAGAATAATCTTTTTGTTATTACTTTAAGCATAACCTAACACTTATATGGTGTCTGTAACTTTCTCAGCACTGTTCTAAGAATAGTTAATTAATTCTTTAATTCTTAAGTCAACATTATAAAGTGGTATTATTTGAATTTCACTGATTGGAAAACTGAGGCTCAAGGTTACTCAGTAAGTAAGTAGCAGAACAAGTACTGGATCATAGGCAATTTGGCTCTAGTCCTGACTTTTAAGTATTATTTTATAAGGCTACTCTCATGATAGTCTTTCAATTTTCTAGGTGTACTTAGGGTCTGATGTGAGAAAATATGTTAAGTCGGCTTAGGGTAAGAAAGTAAAATTCTGTATGACCCGAACAAGTAATAGTTTTTACAAGGAAAGAAAAGGTTTTTAAATGTTAGGTCTGCAGATCAAACTTATTCTTTTTGTGCTTTTAATTTTTGGATTTTCTGAATATTTGTTGTCCATTAGTTCTTTTTAACACACTAATTTGTAATATACACTATTTACTCAGGAATAAAACTCAATCATAATTCATTTAGCTAATATTAATTAAAAAAACACAAATGATAGTTTTCCAACTGTATTTCATACAGGTTTATAGTAATTCACCTGGAAAATTATTTTATCTATTTTTCATAGAAGTGGGTATCACATTAGTTATAACACATAATTTTCAATCTAAAACAAATCTCTGCCAGTTATAAACTAGTGACATATTTGATAAATTGCTGGGAAAAAGAAAACTTAAAACTGTTATGAAATTTACTTTCTTATATGTTGAAAAGTCTTATTTTAGTTATAGAAAGTTTAAGATTATTATGTTCTATCCTATCTTAGTTACACTTGCAGATAACACCAATATAGTGCAGGTAAATTAATTAAGACTGTAGAGAATAATTATAAATTACCAAAACCATAAAGTTTGATAATAACTACAATTCTTTCAATGAATTAAGTTTGTTTTATTCTTCTCTTAACCTTGCTTCAAGTTATTCAATGGATATTATATTTCTTTTGTATAAAAAGAGAAGAAAACTGTCTAAATAACATATATAATGGAGTACAGTAGACAGAATATAAACTTACACATGATTTATTATTTTATAAGTAAAATGTTAGTTTTGTTTCACATTATTGTAATAAAATTTCTTTCTTGTGGTTGCAAAAGTATTAGAATCAATAAGTGAGCAAAATAATTCCAAAAGCCACATATTAGCTAATATGCAAGAGCCACATTTAGTATATGTAGCAAATATACTTCAGAGTTAATAATTTGTTAGTTATCTAATAGAAAATATATTAAAAAGACAAGCTTTTGTTTAACATTCCAATAATCCCATGAGGTCTTATATTAGTTTAAAAAAGTGAAAATAATAAATAAATAACATTTCTCATCTAAATGAAACTCAACTCAGACAAAATGAAAATGTTTTTAATCATTTTAATAAATATATTATCCAACATTTACATTTTTGAAGAATAACCTACAAAAAGTATCAAAACAATCATCAAATCAAAATAATAAAATATATTTCTTGTTGAAAAGCTTGCCACTCTAGTAAAGTGTTTATGATTTCTTAAATACTAAGAAAATACCAATTTCCGAGTTGCTAAACAGTACTAAAATTATCATAAATACCAATGTTTAGTTACTTTTATATGGCTAGAAATGCTTTTTGTCAATATTATTTACATAGTAAGGCATGTGTCAAATAAAAACAAAATTGCATTCACTTTTAAAGGTATACCTTTGCTCAATTTATGCATTTTTACATATATGATTATGCTTAATTTACATATCAAAAACCCTAGGATGGTAAATTAATGGAGATTAAGACCCCAACTCAATAAATAATCCTCAGAACTTCATAAAATAATTACAGTTTTAAGGGAAAAATAATAAGTTCTAGTACTACCCTCTAAATATATTTCTTTGTTAACTGAAATTAAAAATGCATATAATTTTTTGAGATCATTGATATTTCTTTCGTAGGTTATTTGGTATCTGATCATGGTGCAAATATGTGAATGAACGAATAAATCCTTAACCCACCATTATCTTTTTCTCCAGTTTGCAGGCAATCACCCGTGAAAAGTATGGTGTAGATGACAGGATGATACTGTACCTGATTAGCTCTGGAGGTGGTCATGGGATCAGATGGAGAGGACTTGGTGGTAGTTGGGGAAGATGGCAATGTCTGGGAACAAAGCAGTTCAGGAGCAAATCAACCTTTATAAGCCTTAAACTGATCATTAAATAAAACGAAATAAAATAAAATGTAATATAACGAGAACAAAATCCTATAAACAAAGTTTTCTCCTATTCATTCAAATTTAATGGAATTTAAGATCAATTGAGTAACTAATGCGTGTAAATATGCATGCATAAGCATGTAAAAATAAATTCATGACTTGAAATCATGATGGTGACTGATAAAAATTCACATGAGTACTAAAGATATCCTGACCATATTCATGAATAGTAGTTTTATTTTTCCCCCTCTTGTTTTCTTGGGGGAAAAGAGATGTCAAAGAAAAATTTAAGAAGTTCAATGATTAAAACTGAGTCATTTTCCTATCAATGAATACAGTCGGAGATTTGAAGAAGTGGTGAAATGAAGTTTACTTTGGCATAAAAGTATCCACCTACTTAATATGCTGAACATCACCAACAAGTTGATTCCACATGAATTTAGGGATCCATACATAAAAGCAATTAAATTTGTAGTTCTGAGTTCTTAATATCACATTATCTTCTAAAATTTTAATTTTTAATAAATTTAGAGCCCGTCTGAAAATGTAAACATTAACCTCATATTAATAAGCAGGTAACTAATAGCATTCTAAAAATTACCAAAAATATTTTAAAATTTCTGCTGAACAATAAATTTGATAGATGAAGGGTATAATATATTGTAGCATCATTAACCTGTGTGGAAAATAATCATCACAATATTAGGAATCATATTTATTCCTCATTTCTAAACATATATTCATGTTATATAAAATGTTTTAGGGTATTTTAAAGACTTCTCATATCTAATAGAGTAAACTGAAGTATATAAAATGTTAGCACTTTTCTTTTAAAAAATGTGTTGCATGTTCACTTAACAAAATAACATTGCTTAAGTAGTATCTTCAATAAATAATAGTTCTTAATAGGCAAAATGAGATAGGTTTTTACAGTATAGATATGATTCTATATGGGAATTATGTTTTACCTTGATATATATCCATAAAAATTACTCAGAGATGAGCAAAAGCATAACTTTAAAGTTTCTGCAGTATGATTATTTGAAATCAATTTTTTTTCATATAAGATTTTAAAAATTCTAACTTGAGTAGAATAAAACAGTAAAGAATAAAAAATATATAAATTCACAGGCTTCTGATTAACTCACTGACTTACAGAAAAAGACAGGATTGGTTCTAACATCAGATCATCGTATGCAGTCTTAAAGAATTCCTCAAAATATTTCTGATTCTTCTTAAGATAAAACCTAAGATAACTTGCTGAAAACTAGATCTACTAGTGAGAAACCAAGATTTTTTTCAAATCATACAAAAAAAAAGAAAGAAAATGACCTAAATTCAAAGGTTAAACTTCATAAAATATTAAAAAGCTTCAAAACTTTTATTTTCTATTTTTCACTCTTTGTAATTAATTTTTGCTATTTTTCCAGAGACTTCATTGTCAGTCATCAAAAATTTCCCTGATGCTTTCTTTTCCATGCAATACTCTGCTGGGGCATATGCTACTACATAGTTGATGAATTGAATAGTAATGTCTTATTTTCCCACCCCTGGTTTACCTGTTATTATAGTATTCTGGGGGAAATTAACATACACTTAAAAATGCATTCTGTATGTTATGGTTTAGATATTCATTGCCCCCCAAATACACATGTGTTAGACAATACAAGAGCATTCAGAGGTGAAATGACTGAGTTAAGGCAATCTTAACCTAATCAGTGCATTACATACTGAGTGGGATTGACTGGGTGGTAATTCTAGGGAGGTAGAGTATGTCTAGAGGAGGTAGGTCCCTGGGGGCATGACTTTAGGGTATATATTTTGTCCCCGGGTGAACTGACTGCTCTCTCCCTGCTTCCTGGTGGCCAGGTTCTAAGCAGTTTTCCTCCACCACATTCTGCCACCATGATGTTCTGCCAGATCTTGGGCCCAAAACAATGGACTGAGACCTCTAAAATCATGAGCCCCCAAATAAACTTTTCCTCCTCTAAATTCATTCTTGTCAGGTTTTCTGGTCACAGCAGTGAAAAAGCTAACTAGAACATATACTTGTCATCTCAGATTAATATTGGGATTGCTGACTAACAGACATTAAATAACCCTAGAGGCAATATTTCCTGATATAGATCAGAATCCAAGCTCATTAACCTACAGAGGCACAAGATTTAAGAGTGCTGGGTTCTCCTATTTCCATCAGGGTAAAATCAATCTGAAGTACTGTAGGTTCACTGTGACATCTCTTGCCTTGTGCCAGATACAGACTTTCAACAAGATCTTTACATACTGCCAAGAACTATGTGTAAAAAGTAGTAAGATCAATTGGCTCAGAATTTGTAGCAACTTAGGTTACAGTGTTGATTTTTTTTTGCCTTTCTTTTTGATTGCCATCTATATGATACATTGAACATGTTTTAATAAGTAACACAACTTATATTCATCAAAACTGTGCTTGATAATTCTGACCCTTTTCCTTCCCCCAAGAATAAAAGCAATAATTTTAAGCTTCTAGAAAATATAAATGTTTTCTAAATAACTAGAGGTTTGATTATCAAACATAATTTGATAAGTTTTATTTCAATAATTTAAATAAACAAGTAAAATTATATAAATTTGGGCTTAAAAGGAAACAATTGCTGAAACTGTCTCTAAATATATTTGCTTGGTTTCAATTCCTAAAAGAATAATGAAGTAAAGACGTGAAAAGTTTTCTAGCAATTATTCATACAGATATTATTAAGCATAAAGAAGTATCCTTCCTTTAGGAATTTGATTTATAATGATAAAGATATTACAGAAAGTTTTCATTTCGGCTGATTCTTTAAATATTAAGAGGAAACATTTTCATAAATAGATAAATGTAAATACATTTAAAAAACCTTTAAATTTAAATTAAAATGCTGTGATAATTGTTCTCAACTATTCAGATAAATGGAACAAAATATCTGTAAGAAATATTCTAGCATACAATGTTTTGTTTCCTTAAAATTGTAAGTAAAATGTTTACATCCATTTACTGTGCAAAGTTTAGTGGTTTCAAGTTAAATACCATTTAGTAAATCTTTTGATATATATTAAGGTATATCATGATATATCATAAAGATATAACCAACTATCCATGTAACATCAGTATATTGGCAGATTTATAAGAAATAACATTTACAAAGCACACGTTCTTTTAAAAAATTCTCTAATTTTTTTTTTCATTTTCAAATGGTAAATATGAAGGACAAGGGTATTTGTAAAGCAGCATTTTTCCTTCCAAACAAAAAGCATAATATATTTTTTTATTTATATAATGAGTGGCTCCTTAAGAATTCCTTAGACATTGAAGACTAAATTACTTATTACCGAAAAATTTCAAGTATTCTAGAGTAGTGAATCCTTTGAAGTAAAAAAGTGGTTTTTTTAAATCAAGATTTTAATAATGTTTTGTTAAATGTAGATATAACAAAGTTTTGGGGCATAAGAAYCAAAATGTTACTTCAAATTATAAGATGAATTACTGTTAATATATGATAGTTTTGCTGGACCGGGGAATAGTACCATAGATAAACTCCATGATAATTATATCTTGTCTTCAAGCAAGGCTATAGTGATATACTGTCAAGAATCTGTAATATTTACAGTGAGAATAGCAATGAACAACTATCCATGTTAGAATTAAGAATCTGTTATTAGCTGAGTAATGTTATTTAAGTAATCAACTCCCCAACCCCTGTTGTGAGTTCTATTAAATAAACCTGTATAATGCTCCCTAAAAGATAAAATACCTAAATATGCAATTGTCGCCTTTACTTCATTATCATTGGTAAATATCCTTCCCTTCCCTTCCAACATCTGAACTAATTCATATTTCTCTTTTGATACCAATATCTTTACTCACAAGTCCCCCTATAATTTGTCCAAATTTTTATCACCAAAGAGACCAATATGCAGAGGAGTCTTCATTTATTCATAAACTTTCAGAGACATTAAAAGGTCTCCTTGGAAAATCAGAAATAATCTAAAGTCTGTAGGATGTCACTCTATCATACATCCATACATCTTCTGATCCTATTCTACCTATTTAATATTATTTTTCTCTAATTACCAACACAAACATTGTACTTCTGCCTAAGCAATTGCCTCAGTATTCTGAAGAAATATATCTTCCTCCCCAAATCCATTTTGAATTACTTACCTAAAATATTTTTTCTTTTATAATTAGGTAATTCCTGCATAATTTTCAAAGTTAGTTAGTCCTTGCTTATTTAGAAGGCTACTAACTGTCACTCTAGCTTACATTTTTTTTTCACACTCTTCTGAACTGTGGAGCTTTGTTATATCATACAGTTTTATATTTTGTAAGTTATTTTAATCAGTGATATTTCATAAAGGCAAGCGATATTTCATTCAAGGGCAAGGAGAATTAAATGTATTTTGTAATTTTAGAGATTTAACAAACTCATGATTGAATGAATGAATAATGAAGAAACAAATTAACAATTACTACTTTTGCCAGTTGTTCATGATGAAAGTGACATTCCTCGGACTAAATGAGATTTTTTTTTTTTATATCTTAATTTGATTTTTTTAAATACAAGAAAACCCTCTTAAGGTCCCTGAGCCTTTTCTTTCCTAATAAACAAAATAATAAAAAAATTCTGAATTAAGAATTGCGTAGTTCCCAACATCTAACATAGAAAACTGGATTTAAGGCTATTTGTTAGGTTTCATTTTCTACCATAGGAAAGACTTGTGAGATCAGTATGCATTACTTTCTTAAGGAACTCTACTTGTTTGAGAACACATTCAGTTAGTAAGAGAAGGTTTCATTTGGGTAGATATTATGGTCCAAAAATTTGCTCAGTTACTAACTGTATCTGAATAACATATTTGAGGACATAGAAGTTTATTAAAGTCTATAATAGATGGTACAAAATCATAACTTTTAAAGTTTATTTGTTTAGAACTAAATTTGACTTCTGATTTTACGTTCAAATTACATATAAATTATTTTTGATAAGCAAAACCTTAAAATTCTGAATCATAAAAAATCTGACAAATGTAATAACTGAAACATTAATAAAATCCACAATTTCATATTCCACATTAATCTATTTCTACATTGAGGTTCGATGTTTCTTTAGGCTCTAGAATTTTTTAAAACTCTGGTTTTATTCTTTAAATAATCTCACCTAGAATAAAACTAGTAATAAAAGTCTTTAAATAAAGTATTATTAATTTTTATTTGTTTTTGCAGTGCTAGAGAATGTGAATCCAGGACTTCCAATATGCTAGGCAAGCACTCTACCACTAAGCTACATCCTTAACCCAGCAATTATTTTTGGTGGAAATTAAAATTTTCAAAAGTAACATGAATGTGTCAATTTGTTAGGAGAAAGACTATCATTTAACAAGAAATGTTATTATGATTCTATGTATTTAAATTTATGACATATGTAAACATGATATAAAAATGTTTTTTATCTGTTCTATGGAAAAATGCTTTATTTTACAAATAATTATTTTATACTGGCATCATTTTTCAGAAAAAAATCATGATCACTGAAATTAATACATTTGACTTACTATTTAGAGAATGATCTGGTAAAAACTACTATACTGGTAAATTTGATACTTAAAGAGAGAATTCCAAATTTAGAGTATAAATAAACAAGATCTGTAATATTTTGAAAATGTTTTACATCTTCTCTAGATTTTCAAAAAATTTTATCAGTTTTACATTACAAGGAAAGTGTTTAAGTGTTAAATATATTGTCCTACTAAATTCAGTGTTCTCTTTTGATAAATTATTTTCAATGATACATTATTTCACATACATGATTTGATTACATGAAAATATAAAATAATCAGCCATAATTTTAATTCCATGAATATCAGCAAGGCTCACAAATGAATGCAAATATACAAAAGTAAACCAATCAATATTAATTTAACATATCTTGAATATAAGTAACATTATACAACTGAGGTAAATAAAAGTAAACAAAGACTTTTAAATCTCTAGTTTTCCTAAATCTACACTGACATTGGATATATGGTAGTCTGTAAATCTCATTGCCATAGATGAAGCTGAAATTTTAATAATAGTACATAGACTATCATTTGGTGGTACTAGCTATTTGTTCTTAAAACACAATAAAAACTAATTCCTATTATATCCTGAAAACAATTGCTAATGGTATCATATTTTTCAAACTTCAATTGATATTTTAGTTTTTTAAAAAATCAAGATGTTCAAGTCAATTCCTAAAGGTCTGAATTTTCTCACAGAAGTTACAAAAGAAAAGAAAGAAGTAACAGGCTGGATTAAGGCAGAAAATCAAAAGATTTTGTAAGTTCATAGCCTCAGATGATTTTAACCTAGAGGTCTTTAACTAGATACCACCCAGTTTTAAAATCAACTCATCCTTTGTATGAGTTTTAAAATCAACTATTCTTTGATTCCCCTAGCACAGATAGAATAGACACTGCAAACTAACCAATGGCTGTGAAAAATAAAAAAATAATAATTTTCAATGATATTTACAGCTTAAAATATTTATATGCTGCCATGTATATATTATATGATTTTTCCTTAAAAAGTTAAGAAGGGTATACAAACTGACCCATTTGACAGTGATAGAGTATAATATGAATGATTTTATATGGAATAAGAGTTGTCTACTCATGATTTAAAAATGGAAGGATTTTTTAAAAAATGGTAATTAATAGAAAATTGAATATTACTCTATAATTTAAAAATATATTACCTAATTAGTAATTTTTACATTTATATATTAGTACTATATTTACCTATATACTAATGAAATTATAATAGAATTATAACTGCTTAATTTTTTTCAATTCAGAAACATGAAATTAATAAAATTTTGTGCTGCATCACAATGAAGATAAATTTTCTGTAAGTTAAATAGCTTGGGAATTAATGAAGAATAAGACATTTCTTTTCAAAGCATAGTCTTTTGATAATAAAATTAAGACACAAATTGAGAGGCTATTATAAAAGGGCAAAGGCAGAAACAATAATTATGAACATAGAAGTATCAAACAAACTAGTAGATTTAAAATTTTTTATGGTGGAAAAATCCATCTTATTTAACATTAAATAGTGTCATTTTCCCCTAAATCATGTCATCCATTAGTCAATCTTAAAAACTCACATTAGATTTTATCCAGTAAAATATTTTTTACAGAAAATCCCATACATTAAAAATCAACATTGGTTCTTGATGAAATATATGTAAAAACTACACAAGTTATACAAAACATAATAGCTAATTTATAACAAAGGACTGAATGCTAGGTATACAGATTTACTTATACAAATTTATAAAAATGTTGAACATGACAATTTAATTACAAAACAGTAATCTATATGGAAAATAACTATATTGAAGACTACAAAATATCCCTAAAAACTGGGTATTGGAAGTTTTGAGAATATAGTTTCAATTTTATACTTTATTTTAAAAGTAATAGAATTTGAATAAATCAATAAGTTAATTTATAAATAATCATATCAATAAAATAAATAATTATAAATCATTATAATATTATAAATTAGTAAAATTTGTTTCTATAAATTTAAAAGCGCAATTACAAAGAGAGACTTGTTCATCAATATAACACTAATAAATTAATAATTAAATCAATATGTAAATGAATCAATCTAAGGAAAAGACCTTGATTAGTCTTTAAGTAACTAAATTTACAACTGTATGTTTCAAATATACTTAAATTAAAAACTTTATATGCTAAGACATTTTAAGGCTTCTTTTGTTAGGAATTCATACTATGCTGCAGATATTTCTCTTTGATTTCCCAACTAAACACTCACTTGTTTGATGCGATCTGGATTAACGGTGGTCTGGGGTTGTAGAATGCTGACTGGTTCAGTCTTGGCCACATTTTGGGGCATTTCTCGAATTTTTTCTGCAATGAATCCATGAACTGCATTCAGTGCTTCAACTGTTCCCTGGATCAAACACACTCGCTCAGTAGTACCTGTAGAAAGAACATTAATTTTCAGCAAACGTTCCTTCTCATTTTGCATTAAAAAAAACTATGAAAAAGGGTGACACTGTAATGCCAATAAAATATTATAAAATGTAGTGCTCTCAATTTCAAATGTTAAATTAAGGCAAATATAATGAATACACACATGCCCCTCTTTACCACTTTTTGTTGTTGTTGTTATTTTTTAATTATTCTTTTTTATTATCTGTAGTCTTGAAATGGGTCTTTGGATTTCATTTCCTTCAGTGTCACTGTTTCAAAATTCCAATCCACTGTATAGAAGGTTTTTAAAAAATTTATATATAACAGTGGGATGCATTAAAATTCTTATTACATATATAGAGCACAATTTTTTCTATCTCTGGTTGTAGACATAGTAAAATACATTTGTAAGAGCAAAGTTGTGAAATACAAACATTTAAAACATCATAGGTTATACTATTTTAAATATTATGATAGATAAGCTATTTTATAGTAGATTTTTAATTTAAAATAACAGTATAATATTATTAATTCTAGAAAATATACAAGTAAGAAGAAATAAAAATATATTAGAGGGTACACTTAAATTTTCATATTTTAAATAAGAAAAACTCAAGTTTAGGATAAATTAAGTTTTCTAGGTTATAAAAAAAATTCCATGGAGGTCAATTGTAAGGATAGACAAAGCCTGAAAACCAATAAGAGTTTTTTGATTTAATTTTTTCTATTTTTCTTAATCAGCTTTTCCTTACTCTGGTCAATCTTAATGTATCTTTATGGTAGTTGGTTAAAATATCTAGTGTACAATCAAGAAAGACTTTGCAAGATTGTATTAATTGTCCACAAATGACTGTATTAATTTTTCTAGAAAGGATGGGAATTGATCAATGTAGTTAATGCAAAATGTTCTTATACAGGTCAGCAGTCTAAACAGGGATTTTTAAAAATAAAACATAGCACTAATAACTAAAGATATTGTAGAATCCATATTGTTCTCAAAATTCTGATTTGATTAAATACATATGACACCTGACCACAAAGAGAAAGGGGAGAGGGGGTGGGAGGAGGAGGAGGAGGAAGAGGAAGAAAGCAAAAGCTGCAATTCTCAGAAGACATGCTGGTTAATATTCTTCTACAGAACTCTAAAAGCCTTTTCACTAAGGTAACAAAAAACTAAAATTTTGAGGAAAGACACAAAAAAGGAAGACTGTCAGATATATGACCAAACTGTGTACACAATGAGCTTATAAATCATAAATGTTGCTGTTTTTTTAATAAATTAAAAAGCTTTTATACTTCATTGGTGTCTAAACTAAACTACCAGTTATTCATCATTTTGTTTGTTTAACAGAAGCATTTACCTCTCTTTGCAACAAAATAGCGACAAAAACTGAAAATTAGTTACATAAGAGCACATGCCCACATTTTGTACAAAGTAAAAATACAGGCATATAAGACACTATTTCTTAAAGTTGCACTTTTAAAGGAGAAACTTCAAAATTCTAACAGGAAGGCTCAATACTAAATAAAGACAGCAATATTTGAAATTTTTTACATTTCATTCACACATGCAATATCAAATTCTAAAAATATATGTTTTTAGAACTTTGAATCAATGATCAGATTTCATAAATAAGTTTTCATAGAAATTTGTTAAAATATATTCTCTCCATGCTATTGTAACCTGGACAAGACACTTAAAACAGTTTGTTGTCCTCTCAAGGGCATTCCATCACTTTTTTTTCTGGGTCTCATCTTTTAGTAACCACCAAGTCCTCTGTTCCTATTGTTAACAGAGTAGTTCTTTCTAATATCATAATGTCCCAACAGCAGAAAACATGTTATAATTCCTTCAATTTCAAAGAAATTGACAGAATTAGAAAGCTGCCCTTTCACAAACAATGAAATAAATAACTGGGGCAAATATCATAAATAAAACCAAAAGATGAAAGGCTAATGAGAAATTTTCAATGAAAGCATCAGGGTTTCACTAACTGATTTCAGGGGTCAATATTAACAATGATGAACAATGTGAAAATCACATATAATGTGCCTCTCAATGAGATCCAATGCAAAAACACAGTACCAATTACATATAGATACAAAAGCAACTGAACAAATCAAAACATTTTGTGCTGCATTACAATCATAGATGATACTGAAAACAGAGAAATAGATGATACCATAAAGAGGCAAAGATATAAATCATCAAGATTGTAAAATTGTTTACAAAATGATCCACTTTCATCAATATGAAGGGATTACTTTTCAGACAAAAAGAGACTTAACTAAGAAATACTAAGGAAAATGTAAATTCAAATTTGATTGGATCCAAAGTCAAACAAATTTTATTTGAAACATAATTGAATTGAGATAAAAAATTGAGTATTACATCTTATCAAAGAACTATTGTTAATTTTAACTGTGTGATTAAAACATCAGTATATATTTTGTTTCTTCTTTTTCTTTGAGATGCACACTGAAATATATACAGGTTTAAAAAACACACTGGAATTTGCTTTAATATATTTCTGCAATAACAAAAAAGGAAATGAAATCGACATGGCAAAATTTTAATATTACTGATTTAGATGAAGGGCATAAGGAGATTCATTATACTATTCTACTTTTATGTTTTACTTTTCATAATAATAAAATGTAAAAGCCTTCACTGATCTCATACGCTTCTTCTCAATCTTCTTATTCACCCAAATTCCTTGAATGAGTTATGTATACTTTCTACTTCCTTACCACTAGTCTTGAATTTCTCAAATGGCTTTTCCCCTTCAATTCTACTCCATTATAGTATTTGTTCTATAACTCACTGAAATCATTCATCACAGATATATTTGGTCAAATTCCTTGTTCATATCTTCATGTTTTCACTCCATCAGCAACATTTAACATAACTGACTATTCTTTTCGAAGAAGAGTTCACTTGATCTTCAGGATACCACATATCTCTGGGTTCTGGCTTTCACTCCATTAATTCATTTAATGAATTTATTGAGTTCCTACTACAAACAGGCTAAAGATACATAATGACCAGACAATACCCCTGACTTCTTGGAGCTTAAATTTCAGTTAATGTAGATAAACACTATGCATGAAATAAAATATACAGAGAGAACACTCAAAGGAAATGGGTGCTGTGAAGAGAAGTTGGGGACAGTAACAAGCTGAATAAAGACAAAAAGAAACCATGAAAGAAATTTTGCCATAGTCACTACCACATATCCAATACCTAGATTAGTGCCTGGCACTCTACAGATGGTTCAGCAAATAGTCTTCGAATAAATGAATAACTACCCGAGTCTAAATTTTCTTATTTCTAGTTTGAAAAACATATGTATGATCAATTGTAAGGCCTTTTAATCTACAAAGTATCTATAAAGCCAATAAGCCTCTTTGGGTTTATTAGATCAGTTAACTACATAAAAAGAACATATTTTGGTTAATCATTTAAGTAACTATAGTAAGTTATAAAATGTCTCACACTCACAAAAAGGGCACTCAGTAAAAAGAGTTTAGGCAAAAGTAGTAGGAGACACATTGCGAGATATAAGAAATAATTCAACAGAATTTATTTCCTTTCTGGGGTTAAAAAATTAACTTTAAACATGTAATCCACCTAAAGCAATAAGATTAGGAAGAAAAAGAAATATATTTTTCTGCAGTCTTTTTTTAAATTTTCTTTTTAGTTGTTGATAGACCTTTATTTTATTTATTTATAGGCAGTGCTGAGAATTTGAACCCAGTGCCTCACATATGCCAGGCAAGTATGCTACTGCTGAGCTACAACCCAAGCCCTTCCTGCAGTCTAAAAGTTTTTAGATAACTTCAGCCTACTTCAAACAAAATAAGTCTATTCTAGAATAATGAGCATATACTAATGATTTGATCCATATACTTCCAATTGTTATCTATAATGAAACTCAGGAAGCATTTTATTTGGATTTGAGAAAAGTACATAAAGATAAGCATGCAAATCCCCAAATCCAAAATTCAAAATGTTTTGAAACCTCAAACTGAACATTGACATGACACTCAGAACTTTCAGAGTATGGAACATTTCAAATGTTGAATTTTGAGATTAGGAATGCTTAATTGATATGGTCTATGCAAATACTCCCAAATCTAAATGCATTACAGTGGAATGTATTACAATTCTTATTACTCACACATAGCACAATTTTTCATATCTCTTGTTGTATACAAAGTATATTCACACCAATTCGTGTCTTCATACATGTACTTTGGATAATAATGTCCATCTCATTCCACCATCATTTCTAACCGCATGCCCCCGTCTTTCCCCTCCCAACCCTCTGCCCTATCTAGAGTTTGTCTATTCCTTACATCCTCTCCCTCCAACCCCCCACTCCCATCAATCAACCTTCTTATATCAGAGAAAACATTGGCATTTGGTTTTTTGGGATTGGGATTAGCATTATCTTCTCTAACTCCAACCATTTACCTGCAAATGCCATGATTTTATTCTCTTTTATTGCTGAGTAATATTTCCACAATCTGTAATTTTTACAGTAAAAGAAAAGATACATACAATGAAAATAAATTACCAATTCCAAGTAGCTAATATACTGAAAGGACAGGGTTTATTAATGAAATGTTTAATGTTATTTTATCTTTTACCTTTTTTATAAAATATATTTTATATTTTCTCTTATCTTCATTTTATCAAGAAATATCTTCCTATACATTATATATTCTGAAGCATATTAATATTTCCTGTGCTAATATTTCCTATATTAGTATTTCCTTATAAAGTGCTGGGCAATAATAAAGTGGCAATCTCAAGATTTCTTTAGGTATATATGTATTTCTGTGCATAATTATGATAAATGCAGTAAATTAGACCTAAAAAGTCAAAGGTCAAAAATTTTTTTCTGACATATGGAAGCTAGTCCAAAATAAGGGGGAGAAAGGGTGTGTGTGTGTGGAGAAATGGTCCATTAAAATAGAATACAGAGCAGTGAAATAGAGGA